CACTTCTAAATTGTGAATATTGAGGAGGGATGTTTTCACGGTTTATATTTAAAAACGGTCATTGTAAATGGTGGAATCTAAAATCTCCCTGGTAGTTTTAAATTTTCAATCAAGAAACATGTACAAGTTGGCAAAATTGTCCAAATTGTCAGAGTAGGAGAGTTTCAGGCCAGAAGGGACCGACAGAACAGAATGGAAGTCAGTAATTGTCAAGCTATCCTCTAAACAGGGTACAATTTTAGAGATGTGACATGTTCTGTGTTTAGGATTATGTGTTTTTGAACTGAAAAAGCAAGGAATTTTTTTAAAACAAGTTTTCCTTTATTCTGATTAGTTTATACATGTGGGCAAAGAGAGACTGTTTCAAAGTCCTGTCTAATTGGTGTTTGCTTTTAACTTATATTTGTGTATTTATTTTTTTCTTTGCCTTAAAATTACTCTGGTGTTTGGAAATTTTGATTCAGAAACTTTCTTCTGAATGCTAAGTACAACACACAGTATTATATGTTTGGTTTTATATGTCTAATTATTTTTATGGTATGATTGCAGGATATATCACTAGCTTTGCTAAACCAGGGCCACTGTTTCCTCTTTTTCATTATGTGGAAATCCTGTAGCCACAACCAGGATTTCTATATAAAGATAAAGGGTAGTATGTGTCCCTGTGTGAACTTCAGGTGTTAGGATTTTCAGTAATAAGAAGTACTACTGCTGCAGGTCATTGTGGGGTGGTAGATTAGTCTCTCCTTGGTACTGTGGCAAAATCGAAAGGTTTAATATTCCTGACCACTATTTTTCTATGGATTGCAATTTTCTATGGATTGCAGCTGGCGGGGGCAGCTATAAACCTAAGTGCAGGTAAAGGGATATATGCAAGTATCAAGTACACAATGAAGAATAGAAAGGATAGATTTCTGGAAGATAACTCAAAGATTGCTGAATATTAATAAAACATTTATAGTGGCCTACTTTGGGGGCCTTCTAATATCAGTGTCAAAGATAATTGATTCAAATCAAAACTATTTACATCAAATATAATCAATATTTAAAATCAGCAAGCAGGAAACTCTGATTTAAATCATCAATTTTAATTCTTGTTCTACATTTGTACTTTTTTAGTTACTTTCCTAAAGAAAGATAGATTCTCACTGGTCGGTATAATTTGGTACTAATTTGCTAACCAGAAAGATATAGTATATCTATACACATTTATTTAAACAATTATATAACTTAATATACATTTATTTGGGGTCTTGATTTTTTTTTTTTACACTTTTTGTTAGAGAAAGGTGAATGACATTTCTTAATTACTAGATAATGATTATCTGGTTGAAATAAAAAAAATAATTTTTTGATTTTTTTTAAAAAAAGGACTGATTTTTATGTACCCTGATTTGTGTTGATAAAATACTTGATATCTATCAGGAATCTTAAGATGGCATCATGTTTCTGAACAGTCAAAATCTGTAAGTGTGCCCATCGTGAAAACAGACATTTAAGTAAAACATTTAAAACTATTTATTTTCACAACATCAAACTTAAAGAAAAAGCAAACAGTGTCCCTAGAGGGATTTTACACTGAGTGACTCGCAAGACAATTTTCCAACAGGGAAATGATAAATGCGGGGACATGATGAAAGTACAGAAAATAGTGAAAAGTAGATTGGGAGTTTTTGTTCTCCCTGGCTTGTACCAGAAGAACAAGACGATATTTAATGAAACCGAAAGGTGCCAAATACGAAACTTCAAAGGAGACACTTTTTTTTTTGCATAATTTGACCATGGAGCTCATTGCTACAGGAGATCATCGAGGCCAAGAATGTAGCAAGATTTAAAGAGAGAATTTTATAATATTTATAATAATGAATTGACAATGTATAAATGTGATGTTTATAATATAATACCTAAAGAGGATTTGGTATTTACATGCATAACAAGAATATCCAGTTATTATAACCTGTATGAAAAAAGTAGATTGGAAAGGATATTAAACCTCATGCCCCAATGTTTAAGACAATCTCTAATTATTAAGGATTAGAATGAGACCTTTATGGGAGTAGATTAACCCACATCTACCTACTGTGCAGTTTTTTCCATCTTCCTCTGAAGCCGCTGGTGCTGGCCACTGTGAGAGACAGGATACTGGACTAGATGGACCATGACTCTGATCTGTTCTGGTAATTCTTATATTCCTATGACTCATAAATGCTTGGATTACATCACAAGGAATCCAGACCTCAAGGCATATGGGTGAGGCATAGGCAGCAGTCCTTAGCTTTTGTACTACTCCACGTATCAGATACACCTTTGGAATATCACTATTCCAAGTAATTTGCACCACCCACAGCTACACACAGGTTTTTGGTTTCATTTAAAAAATGTGGCAGTCATGATCTGGTGGGGGAGAAGATGTACATGTTTATTTGGACTGGTAAATATTGTGTCTAACACAGAGCAAGAGTTTTATATTGTCAAAGACATGATGTTTGACTTTCTTTACAGAGTGCATGTTAATGGTGATGTCACTAACACTGCTCAGATTTCTCTGGATTTTGAAGAGGTGGTAACGGTCTCAAACTCAGCAATAACAACAGTGCTGATTAGATTTTTAAACACCTGCTGTATAGTTTTCCTCTTTGGGGTTTTTACATATCTACTGAACTTGTAGCCTTTCCAGTTCTCTTACTGTGAGTATTAGCTCCACTGAAGGCAATCAGGTTAATCCCCTTTTCACGCCATTGAAACTGAAATCAGTCCCTGCTACGGTTTTCTCAAACTGCAGATTCCAGGGCCATGTCTCTTACTCTTGACTCCCAGATGAGAACTTTCAACACTATTATTTAAACCTATCACCTGATGCTGGTAACAGGCACTTGAAAATTACAAAAGAAGAGAAGGTGTCTGCATGAGTATACTCTGGTAAGACATTCATCTAAATGTGGGCTGGTCTACACTGGGGGGGGGGGGAAATCGATCCAAGATACGCAACTTCAGCTACGCGAATAGCATAGCTGAAGTTGAAGTATCTTGGATCGAATTACCTGGGGTCCACACGGCGCGGGATCGACGGCCGCGGCTCCCCCGTTGACTGCACTACCGCCGCTCACTCTGGTGGAGTTCCGGAGTCGATGGTGAGCACGTTCAGGGATTGATATATCGCGTCTTAACAATATATTGATCCCGGATAAATCGATTGCTACCCGCCGATACGGCGGGTAGTGAAGACATACCCTGTGACTTGGGTGATAGTGGTACAGTTTTTTTCTGAGCAGCAATCCCTAGTTTGTACAGTAGGAAAAAAGGAAAGTCTACAATCCATGACTAACAGATACTTCCCTACTCAAGAAGACTCCAATCTTCAAAGGGAAAAAATAACCTCAGAGGATCCACTATATAACTACAATGAATGCTTTGCCACTCAGCCGATAATACCTGGAAAACAGCCTAGCAACAAGCAGTTACTCTGCAGATCTTCCTTTTCCCACCCAGCTCCAAGGAACTAGCTTGGTGAAATGAGCACTCTAACAGGGTTGCGTAGTTTTAGTATGATACATATCACATATAACACACACGAAATTCATCCACTTGACAACAGTGAAGCATGGGACCATCAGAAAAAGATGAACATGGGACTGGATGGGTTAGGGGACTGGTAAGAGGATACATAATCTTTCTCTTTTAGATCAGTGGTTCTCAACCAGGGGTACTCAGAGGTCTTCTGGGGGTACATCAACTCATCTAGATATTTGCCTAGTTTTACAACAGGCTACGGAAAAAGCACTAGTGAAGTCAGTACAAACTAAAATTTCATACAGACAATGACTTGTTTATACTGCTTTATATACTATACACTGAAATGTAAGCACCATATTTATATTCCAATTGATTTATTTTATAATTATATGGTAAAAATGAGAAAGCAAGCCGTTTTTCAGTAATAGTGTGCTGTGACACTTTTGCATTTTTATGTCTGATTTTGTAAGCAAGTAGTTTCTAAGTGAGGTGAAACTTGGGGGTACACAAGACAAATCAGACTCCTGAAAGGGGGACAGTAGTCTGGAACGGTTGAAAGCCACTGTTTTAGATCACCATTTCAAATCTGCCTGCGGTAGGTAGGTAATGGCATAAAGTGGTCACTATCTGACAGCTGTTTGACGGTTTAAATCCAGTTCTTGGGGGACAGGACCAGCATCACAAATCCTACACACCAGCTGGTATCCTGTGACAAGCACAGCAGAGTGTCCAAGGGTAAAATGGGTATGGAAACTGAACTACCTTCTCCTCCTCGGTGGCAGTCCCTCTAGGTCTTTGACACTTTAAATAGAGGAAATAAAAGGTATTTCTACATTGCAAAAAAACAAAAACAAAAACCAACCACAGCAGTGAGTCTCAGGAGCCTGGGTCAACTGACTAGGGCTCGAGCTATGGGGCTAAAAGTAGCAGAGTAGACATCCCCGCTCAGTCTAGAGTCTGGACTCAAACTCAGTGAGGGAGAAGGGTCTTGGACTCCCACCCAAGTAGGAACATCCACACTGCTACTTGTAGCCCTGAAGCGGTGGCCAAAGTCAGCTGACCCAGGCTCAGAGACTCACTGCCATGTTTTTTTCCCCAGCGTTGATGTACCCTAGAAGAAAGAGGAAACCAAACGTTCTATCACCTGTCCCATTGAAGCGCAGCAGAGATGACTTGTGGCATTCAGAATGGTGTACACTCAGTAACTGCCAGGGTCAGTGTTATGGCTAACTAAGCAACAGAGAGTCCTGTGGCACCTTTAAGACTAACACATGTATTGGAGCATAAGCTTTCGTCGGATGCATCCGATGAAGTGGGCATTCACCCATGAAAGCTTATGCTCCAATATATCTGTTAGTCTTAAAGGTGCCTCTGTTGCTTTTTACAGATCCAGACTAACATGGCTACCCCTCTGATACACGGCTAAGTTACTTTATGAATGTAGGACCAAAGAGGTAGTGAAGCATGCCCATGACCCCCTTCTGTACCTAGAAGTTTCTTGCTGTCCAGTTTCTGTCTGTTCAAAGGGTTTGTGCCATACAGCAGCGTGTGTGCCTCCGAGTGAACTGTCTGTAGCTCTTCTAGAGTTGCTTTTCTTCCACGAATACACTGCAGGGGGAAAGGAAAGAAGTGGTAAAATTATATTTACTACAATTCCTAGTTTGTCTTTTTATTTCCCTTTGGCAAAAAGGAAATACTGTTGGAAGTTATACTGCACTAAGGGTTTGTTTTATTTAAATTACAGGTTAAATAAATTTTTTTGCTGACAAATTTTTATTAAACTATTATGCAAAAATTCTTATTTTGTTCACTCACAAAGGTATATTTTTAGTCATGAGAAGGATTTCAGCTTAATCCCATTAACCAAAAGATTTTATATGTAAAATATCCTTTTGGACTTTTTAAAAGATACATGCTCCAAAACCTTTGCTGACTTGCACAGCAGCTATTCTCATACTGATGTGTCAGGATTTAGTGGCATAAATCATTTCCATGAATAAGAGTCAGCCACAGAAGCTGTTCACTGATGGAAGAACAGTATTCCAAACATGCACAAAGAAACCCCACCACAACTAATAATAGCTGAACGGCAAAGACTTTGGGGCTTCTCTTCGGAGAAACAACTAAGGGTTAATCAAAATCTTTTTGCTCTAAAAACTGGGCTGAAGATCATGCAAGGTCAAACTTGAGATTCCAACCTGATTTAGGGTATGCCAGAAAAAAACAGAACAATGTTTCTCCTCCCTGCTCTGATTTACAGCTGGAAACAGCAAGTGTAGATGAACACAGAGGATGAAATCCTGGCTTCAGTGTAATCAATGGCAAAACTCCCATTGACTTCAATGGGGCCAGGATTTCACCCAGAAGGTTTTACAACTTGGACCTTTTCCCAAATCTCAAAACAAGCTCAGTCTGCATTCCGGGCAAGCCTTAACATTTAACTCATCTTCGCTCGGGTCTAATTGCTACGGCTGAAATTCACCTCTGTGCTGTGGGCCAGCAGAAGGCCTGTGCAACAATGAAGTGCTATTTTGAGGTGTTGAGTGGGACTTAAGCAGTGAGGAGACTTTGGCCTGATCCCCGACATAAGAGTGAACTTCACCCAACATGAAATGGCATTTGGATTCTCTCCCATGCTAGGGAAAAGGCAGTAACTTTCTGGAGTTCAGGAAGTGACAGACTTTCCATTTTAAGTGGGGGTTTGTAACTTTTTCTAAAATGTCAAAGGAAATACACAGCTTGGACAACAAGACGTTCTGTTTGGTGATGTGGAAACGAGAATTTTTGGGGGCTAAGTGTGCTGCAAAAGTTGCTTTGTTTATGAAACATATGAGTGTAAAAACATAGGTGTTTTAGGTAGTTCAGAATTTATCCTAATGTGCTTGGGGAATTTTTGGTCACAGTGTCTCTAAAATTCCTGTATCGGTGTGCTCTGTCCACAGCATGTGGAGGTCCCAGGAGCACCAGAAACTGCCATGGAATATCTTTAATTTTGCATGAGGGCAGTCATCAGGACTACCGAAACTGGAAGGATGTGGTTCACATCTCATTCAGAGCACAGCAATACTTCCAACAATTCAGCACCTGTTCTAGTGCAGAAGTCTCACCACTGGCTATGGGCTCAATATCTTGGGCAACTACAATGTCTGATATTCCAGAGAGGAGTGCACTATCTAGAGAGCCACAATGACACCTGTTAAACCATACACAGGCAGCAGCATCTTTCAGACAACATTGTAGGGCATAATGCTAGGTACACAAACCAAGCTAATCAGAGGGGATTTTGCCTCCAAACTTTGGTGCAACCTGTATTCACGTGTTTAAAGATGTATTTGCACAGGAAGTAGTTTTATAAAGTCCTTAAGCCTTAAACCAAGAAAACAAAGCATGGCAGGAAGCTTCTCTCACTCTCGTGATTTGGGTCACCTGTCCAGTTAAGTTCCTCTTTTATTTGTATTTTCTTTAAACTCTACAGGTAAGATTTTCTGAGGGTAAATGCTGATGCAAAATACACAGTCATGTTACAAAGTAGCTGCAAAAACACTAGCCCCAACGAGTTTGAAAATAACCTCCAAGAAAAAATTCTTTACCCTCTTTTGTGCCTTCCCGTCCCGCTCATGATAAATCTGTTTCAATTATTCCTTTATCCTTTCTCTCTTTCATGTTTTCCCTCTGCCCAGATGCCATTCTTGTTCTCTAGACAGATGAACTGACTTGTGCTCAACTGCTGCTTTTTTTAGATTTTCTGGAATAATACATTGTTACTTGTATTATCTGGCTATGCACAAACAGAGGAGAATGGTAGCAGTTCTCCAAATCATCATCAGGTAAACAGCTACATCTCTGCTGATTTCAAAGGAGAACTACCATTAACACCAGTGGAGGCCTTGACCCTACATGTGTAATACAAAGTAAAGTGAAGCTCTGAGGTGTGCTTGTCTCCCCAAAGTCTGTGCCCAGTGGGAGGCTAGAAACACCACTCTCCACTCTAAATAATATCCTAGTCTTTTTAGGTACTGTAAATTTCATATTGTTCAAACCTTTTTTCTGTATTTCTAGTAAGACATATTTTATTCTTCTCAGGAAACACGCAGTTCTACATAGACTTTGGGAGACAAACACACCTCAGAGCTTCACTTTACAACCAAAACATCCTTTTAATGTACAGTTTTTGTTTTTAATAAGAATATAACGTGCCTAGGCGGAGCTTTCTCCTTCCAATGTCAGGGATGAAAAATTAAGCCAAATTCTAGGATACTCCTGCCAATTCCTTCTGGACCATTCAAGTTCCCTGACATAAGACCTACAGATGAAGCTTGATATCTGCAATAGTTTGCCGTGTACCCCAGCCTTGTGGGGAAGAGAAAAGGGTTATTTAGAGTCAGTGCAAACAAGGGACAGGTAGACTCCAACATGCCAGTACAAGTCAGTCAAACCTGACAATTCTTCCTCCCCAGTCACCTTTTATAGATACTTTGCATCCTGCATTCCAATATTGCCTAAATACAAAACAATATATTGTATCCATAGTCTTAACTGCATACCAATGTATAACCCTTTACAGAGCTAGAACCCACAGGAGAGTTTTAAGAAGAGATGAAGAGGGAGGATGCGACTCAGGGGCTTGGAAGTTTCAGAGAGATGACTCAGTGGGTCAGTACGAGTTAATGAGTGACCCCAATTAGAGTGGCTCAGAGGGGAGGAAAAGAGGAACTGCCAAGATTAGGAATGAAGTGAGTGGGTGGCAAGGAGACAGATGAGCCAGAGGAGGGAAAGGGGGGAGTGGAGCAGCAAGTCCGGGCACCATTTTGAAGATAAGGAAGGCGGCTGTGAGACGGGTTTGGAAATAACTAGGAAAGCAGTGGAGAAGGAGGAGCAGGAAGACAATTAGAATCTGGAAGCCAGTGGAGCCACGGCATTCTGGGCACCCTGAAGTTTACTGACTAGAGATTGAGGAAGATCATAAGAAAGGACATTGTAAAAGGAAAGACAGGATGTGATTAACACACGGTTAAGGCTTTCAGTAGAGGCAGGGTCAAGATGAGGTTGAAGGCTACCAATGTTCAGAAGATAATTACAGACCAGGGAAATGTGGGAGGAAAAATGTTGAGTGTCAAACATAACTCCCATATTTCCGCCCTTGGGAGCAGTATGAAGGGCCAAATTAAAGCGGGTAACAGTTGTTTAAGCTTTACAGATCAAAGCACTTTATTGCCACGTGGAGAATGTCTGCGATACAGAGGTAGGAGATGAGGCAATTAATATTGCATGGTTTAAGCATTGCTTGTAAAAAACGGACCTAAATGACAATAGGTTGTTTGTCTTGTGTATATTTTTCAAAAAAGAGAATAATCCCAAAGTTCAATTCAATTTGACTTTGCAGACACAAAACAGTCTCAACTCTTTCTTGTTCTCTATATAAAGATGCAAGCACTAGAAGTTTAGCTAATGACAATGCTGCCCCCAAGTGGTTAACCTTCCTTACTGCTCAGAAATTATTTCTAACCAGACTAGCTATGTAATATGCAGTTTCCTCAGGATAAACCAATGTTATAGGAATTTAGTTACATCTGTGTGCCTTCGTTAGTCTCCTCTGGGTCTCCACAGCAGAGCTGGGCAACTAAATTGATACTAACCATACTGATTCTCTGATCTGCGGGACCATAAACCCCATTAAAACCCCATTAAAACCCCTTCTTTTGCAGGACCTCAATCTTAGCTAGACCATCAAATTCACCACAATATTAAAAGGGAAAAAAATGCCACAGAAGCCCTGGAAATATCAAATTAAGGATAGAGTTTAACCAATAACTCCTGTTATTACAGCTTGGGGTTAAAATACAAATCTTAATTTACAATAGCAATGGATATTGAACTGCAAGAGTCAATGCTAGATAGGTATTTCACTATAGTGAGAGTAATACCAGAAAATTATATGACTAACTCCTACTGCAAATATTGCAATAACTATTGGCCAGACATACACTATGAAGTTCTATGAATTCTGTGATTGTAACCATCACTGTAATGCAATGAAATTGGACAGCCCGAAAAGTATTCACAGCAGATACAAACAAACAAATAGAAACAGTCATGTATGAATGGGTTAAACATAAGACACATTTGGCAGAACCCAGCCTACAGTCAGATCCATGAAAATCTAAGAACAGAATCTGGTACAAGTTTGTGTGCCCATGTGGCAATCAGAGATCCAAGTTGCAAATTCAATATGCTGGTCTTTAAAAGCAGAACATTAGAGTCCCTTAAAATGCACACACATGAAATCCTACAGCAGAATCAAAATACCAAGTCTCTTCGCTCTCCCAAACACATGACTGAAACTACATGTCTGCCGTTCCTGTGGCAGTACTTATTACCTCACACTTGCCACGGAGGCCTGTCTCTTGAAGCCTGGACCAGATGCTCTGGATTCTCCCTGCATGCTCTGGGTGGCTGTTTGTGTTTCCACAGGTACACTGGTGTTTCAGCATCAAGGTGTCGTATACAAGGCCTGCAGCAGAAGTTACAAAAATTGCTTGCAATAAAAAACTGTCTTGTGAGACATGGAAAAAAAATCCTCTGCTGTGGACTAGAGCTTACTGTACTGAACTGGAATTCTAAACACAATGGCAATATGCATTCCACAGGCAGATGAAGAGCATTAGGAAAAGAAAATTGTAGACTGCAGTAAATGAGGTGGACAACTTGGTTATATGACCGGGTTGTGTGCAATCGTGGGGACTGGAGTCTGTGATCCAGGAGGTTCCTTCTAGTCCTGTGTTCTTATAAGGTGGCATTGTATTATCAACCATGCAATGACTTCTCCCTGTTGGAAATTCTCAGTGTATTTGGAAAAGAAATGAATCATTAATACTACTAGAGGACGAATCTGTACGGTTTAGAACAGCAGATGTACAAATGAAAGCAGGTGAAAGCACAGATTTAGGCAGATGTGAATACAAGGAAATGTTATAAAAGGACACTATATTTCTTTGACTCTCACATTAAGTACTATTACAACTGCTGATAAAATGGTTCCTTAATCCAAAAACCTGGAAGAAGCGGATACGTCCATGGAAAGGTCTTTGTTCCATAAAATAGTTTACTTTAAAGTCTTCACATCAAGGTTACTTGACAACACAAGACTCAAGGTACATGGAAAGCAGTTTATTAGCACACACTTAGGGATAACTATTCAATGCGTTACATGGGAATTTAGCAGTGTTATTTCCTTTAAACATGGGAGTCAAGAGGCTGAAGCCCTGTGCAACAATATTTACTCAATCTCAACAATGTAGGTGACTCTGATATGTGTTACTCTTCCACCCACTTACACTTCTGGACCAGGATTTGTGAATTCAGGTCAAATACACCACTGAACAAAACTACCAGTTTTTCCACAATTGTGTATTCTGGGGAATAAAGGATGACATTTTTTGTTTAAACACAACGGACATAGTGAAAAGTTTAGTTCTAGCCTTCCCTTAAATTAGAGATAGGTTTGTGTTGGGGAGCACCCAAAAATCTTTGAAATATCAGGGGGTTCAGAGGATGCAGGACAGATTTGCAATTAGTGTTGCTCCTTTGAAAGCCAACCAGTTTGCCAAAGCTGTCCTTCCACTGTGCACTGGTGCTGGTGCTGACACTTTTAGCCATTAGGGGAAGTTGTCTGGGAATTCCTCACTCTGCTCCAGGTTTTGGGACCTCTGAGTGCAGGAAAACACACCCTATAGCTCCAGAGGACAGAATGGAGCTCTCATTAACGAAATGATTAAGTTAACCAAAGTTCAATTAATCAGGGCTTTACAATAAAAATTTATAAAAGTGCCCACCTGTCTGCTTCTTTCTGACATTATTCAGCTCAAGCAATGCAAACTGAAGTTGGAGAGAGGATGTGGGCTAGTAGAATGGATAGCTATTTTGTTTTTCACCTTGGCACTGGGAAAGAACACTGGATTTTGCTCTGTCTCTATCTCAAATATACACCTATTATATATAGAGGGCATGCATGCACATATCACAGGGATGTGTGCATATAGATAAAACACACATGGTACAGTATTTTATATAGATACATTCATACATTGAAAGAAGAGATGGTGGTGGGATGGACTATATATTCTCCTTTGGTAAGTTCGGAGAGGAACCAGGACTCAGAAAAAGTCCAATCTAATTAAATCCTAAAACTCTTCCCACCCCTGGTTAAACAGTGACAAAGCAGTATTTCACTGAAGTTTATCTTGTATATTTATGCATTATTCCCCATTTTTAACATCTACGGCTACTGGAAAGAGTAGGACTGTACTTTCTCTAATTGAGGACAGTGTGTTGCACACAGAAAAAGTAAATGCTTGACCATTTACATTTAAAATACAAAACTACTTTGGCCATTACAGGTTCATTGCTGGAAAAATATTCCCCAAGATGTGGGAACAATCATTTTTAAAGGTCAGTACTAAAGCCAACTGGCTTTTCTTGGCAGGATAAACATATGATTTGAGGTTCAGATAATTATACTGATTCTGCAGAGAAGGAGAGAATAAATGCCCTTCATCAGAAATAAAATAATGCTTTAACACAGAATATCAGAATAATTTATGGAATTCGTTTTCACAGGAGATCAGAAGCTGGATAACTGCAAACCAATGGACCAACTTGGGAATCCTTGTTCAAGTGAGTAAAATTGTACATGCACCAGTATTCCAATTAACATCAATGGATTTACTCGTGTTAGCAAGAACAAAGGGTTAGACCCCTAATGTAACCAACCTTATGTTGGTTGTCATCTACCCTTGCGCAAGAGCAAAATGCTGCCATTCTGATTTTGCAGGGTTTACATCTACTTTCCTCTCACATAGCACAAGTACAATGTCATGCTTCAGGCATAAAACTGATTGCCTGCAATAAGCAGGCAGGGTTTTTTTCAATTTCATATGTACTAACGCACTCCTCAGATATGCAAATATGCACCCTCCCCCCCGCACACAGACACACACCACGTATCTCCCCTGCAATATACCCTTTAAGCATTAGGAACTGGTTACTGCTAGAGACAGGATAATGAAATAGAAAGACCCAGTGATTTGATTCTATATGGCATATCGATGTTTCTAACTCTCCCAAGAAAATGCATTAGAAGGATTTACTATACAACACTTTAAAAATAAAAGTGATTCATAGATTCACAGATTCTAGGACTGGAAGGGACCTCGAGAGGTCATCGAGTCCAGTCCCCTGCCCGCATGGCAGGACCAAATACTGTCTAGACCATCCCTGATAGACATTTATCTAACCTACTCTTAAATATCTCCAGAGATGGAGATTCCACAACCTCCCTACGCAATTTATTCCAGTGTTTAACCACCCTGACAGTTAGGAACTTTTTCCTAATGTCCAACCTAAACCTCCCTTGCTGCAGTTTAAGCCTATTGCTTCTTGTTCTATCCTTAGAGGCTAAGGTGAACAAGTTTTCTCCCTCGTCCTTATGA